CCGGCATTACGAGCGTTCGCATCGACTTAGCCACAGAGCCGACTCTACCAAGAGAGCCACATAAATATTTTCATTGCACTGGTATTATTGTCGTGGGTTCGGGTCCTCACGAAGCCAGACGCCCTTTTTCACAACTGACCAAGCCTGAAATAAGTACCAAAGTTGACCTAGTCTTAAATAAGTACCAAAGTTGACCTAGTCTTAAATAAGTACCAAAGTTGACCTAGTCTTAAATAAGTACCAAAGTTGACCTGGTCTTAAATAAGTACCAAAGTTGACCTGGTCTGAAATAAGTACCAAAGTTGACCTAGTCTTAAATAAGTAGCAAAGTTGACCTAGTCTTAAATAAGTACCAAAGTTGATCTGGTCTGAAATAAGTACCAAAGTTGACCTAGTCTTAAATAAGTACCAAAGTTGACCTAGTCTTAAATAAGTACCAAAGTTGACCTAGTCTTAAATAAGTACCAAAGTTGTCCTGGTCTGAAATAAGTACCAAAGTTAACCAAGTCTTAAATAAGTACCAAAGTTGACCTAGTCTTAAATAAGTACCAAAGTTGACCTAGTCTTAAATAAGTACCAAAGTTGACCTGGTCTTAAATAAGTACCAAAGTTGACCTAGTCTTAAATAAGTACCAAAGTTAACCAAGTCTTAAATAAGTACCAAAGTTAACCAAGTCTTAAATAAGTACCAAGTAAAGTCCTGGGAATCAAAAGCTGCCGGCGCGATGTTGCCCACATCACTGACCAGGTGCTGTTTGGGTATGATATATACGTCTATCCCTTTATGCCCAATATGCCTAAAGGTGTAGAAGAGCCTCCTTTACCTTTTATTACTTTCCCTTACACAGAAATTGATTCCCCGCCTTAGTTCTATCTCCCATCCTTGGTGGAAACAAAAAAATAAACTCATGTCATCTTCATCATCATCACCACCACCACCATCAATTTTCACTTCTGCTGTTAAGCGTTGTTGGGAGGGACTGTTGGCGATCCACTGTTTAACAGGCAGCAATGGCTACTGTCATTCCGTGTCAATGTAAAAGCTCTTTAATGTCATCGATCCATTTTCTTCTACAGCGGCCTCTTGATTTCTCTTTGGATATTTTCATGTGTAGCACCTGCGTGGGTAGTTGTTTTACCTGCATTCTTACTAGATGACCAAACCATCTGATCTTCTGTTTTTCAATAAATCTGCTGCACAGTGTTGTTGCTACTGTCTGTCTGATAATATCATTTCTAAAATTGTTGTCCAAGGAACAAGGTAGTCCAAAACTGTGAGTACATGAAGAACAAGGTGGTCCAAAACTGTAGGTACACAAAGAACAAGGTGGTCCAAAACCGTGAGTACATAAAGAACAAGATGGTCCAAAACTGTAAGTATATAAAAAAACAGGGTGGTCCAAAACTGTAAGTACATGAAGAACAAGATGGTCCAAAACTGTGAGTACATGAAGAACAAGATGGTCCAAAACTGTAAGTACACGAAGAACAAGATGGTCCAAAACTGTGAATATATAAAAAACAGGGTGGTCCAAAACTAAGTACATGAAGAACAAGATGGTCAAAACTGTGAGTACATGAAGAACAAGATGGTCCAAAACTGTAAGTACATGAAGAACAAGATGGTCCAAAACTGTGAGTACATGAAGAACAAGATGGTCCAAAACTCTAAGTACACGAAGAACAAGATGGTCCAAAACTGTGAATACATAAAAAACAAGATGGTCCAAAAGTAGATAAAGAACAGGGTGGACGTGACCGCTAGTAGCAGTTTATGCCCAATGTATACACCAGTCCTCTTTCAAATAAACGAGGTTCCTAGCAGCCGTTCTCTGTTATTTAACTTGTATGTAACTGTTTTCGAACTGTTGTTTAACTGTTTGTTATCTAAGTGTTTTTTAACTGTTCTCTAACCATTCTCTGGCTGTTAGCTGTTGTGTAGCATTTATGTAACTGTAGTCTAACGGTTCTAAATGTTCTCTAAATGTTCTCTAACTACCGTTCTTTAAATGTTGCTGTCATTGCTTTCAAACACGATGTTTATTTATGACCTCAAGATCCACCTCTGTTAATGGCACTTAAAAGAGATTTATATCAAAAGTTACACATCTCTCTTTCCCTCCCTCTCTTTGTCTCTGTCTGTTTCTCTGTCTGTGTGTCTTTCTCTGTCTCTCTCAGTCTGTCTCTCTCTCTCTCTCTCTGTTTTTACCTGTAACTCTCTCTGTCTCTCTCTCTGTTTCTACCTGTAACTCTCTCTGTCTCTCTCTGTCTATGTCAGTCTGTGTGTGTGTCTCTCTCTGTACCTCTGTTCATCTCTCTCTGTGTCTCTGTCTCTCAGTTTGTCTCTTTGTGTCTCTCTCTGTCTCTCAGTTTAGCTCTGTGTATCTACCTCTCTGTCTCTATCTCTCTCTCTGTCTTTCCCCTTTCTGTGCCTGTCTCTCTCTCTGTATCTGTCTCTCTTTCTGTGTCTGTGTCTGTCTCTCTGTGTCTGTCTCTCTCTGTGTCTGTCTCTGTCTTTCTCTGTCTATCTCTCTGTGTCTGTCTATCTCTCTCTCTCTCTCTGTGTGTCTCTCTCTTACCCATACATATATACATCCAATTATTTAGTTTCTAAAATCCAAATCAAACAGAAAACAAACTTATGTTATTGCAGAATTAGGCCTCAGAATCAAGGTGACAGTCATGCATTTAAAATTTGCCAAACTTTTAGCGGCAAACAATATCGCTACATGGGGAGAGCTCCAGGTAATGGCGAAGGATAGAACGACTTGGCGTGAGTTGGTTGAGGGCTCCATTGGGGGATAGAAAGGCAGAAGAAGAAGAATATCGCTTCAGCTAGTAATTTTATAACACTGGGTTGAATAAATGAAAGGCTGTCGTAGGCGTGGCCCGTAGGTGTGCGAAGGGTTGAAGAACGCTGCACGAATCAGTGTTTTTCAACCAAAAGTCTAAAGATCACAAGTAACACGCAGACGTGTTTTGGTAGTTAATCAACAATTTTTTTTTGATTCCTATCTTCCTATCTGATCGGGAAAAATAGGAATTTTTCAGCAATGACAGTAGTAAAAACTAAACAGAGAAAACGAATGGATGTTACTGCAGCGCTTCATCTATCAGAAATAAAGTCCACCCATGCGTATCGGATTGTGTAACCTCCAAACATCGGTAGATGTCGCATTAGCTAAAGATTTCAATTTTATGACATGGGATTTAGCGAACCAAGTGCTGTCTGTATTTGTTTTTGTGTGACTGTTTGGTTAACTATCAGGTGGGCAGCGACACGGTGTCCCCTGTTCTGGTGGGTTGTTGGTGGGAAAACGCTGAAGAACACTGGAGGCTGGAATGTCAAAGAAGGAGGTTAGCCACACATTACATGTTTCTTGTTACTTACTACTAAAGCTTCTTGGACAGTGTTGTTTGTTGTCAAAATGGTGGTTAGTTCCGCTTTCGTTTGTGTCAGGTGTTAAATAGATAGAGATTGTAGTCTTTATCTGTGGGTAGATATTTGAGATGTGTTATATAATGTTACATACAAACAGAAATATAAACTGTACAATGGTGAGAGAAAGAGAAGGAATAGGAGAATAAGGGATAGAATGAGCGACAGAACCAGAGACAGAATGAAAGAGATAATGATAGAGAGAATGGCAGATAGCAGTGGGGTGAGAGAATGAAAGAGAGAAAGTGAGAGAGAGAGAGAGATTATGAATAAAAATGAGAGAGCAAGAGAGAGATATTGCGAGAGAAAATAATGGAGAGAATGAAACAGAGCATGAGAGGGAGAGAGAGAGAGAGTGAATAACAAAGAGATATCAACTGTACAATGAAAAGAGAGAAAGAATTAGAGAAAATAACGAGAAGAAAGAGAAAGAAATAACAACTACTGTATACAGCAGAGCAAAGTAAAGAAGAGTGTGACGACAGACAGACCGAAAGACAGACAGAGAGACAGAAACACAAACAGACAGAAACACAAACAGACAGACTTAAACTACTTGCACAGTTGCAAGGTTAGCCATTTAGAAAATCGACGACCAGCAACACATCTTGATGTCTAGAGTGTACATAATGTTTATATTGTTATCAAACAGACACACAGACAAACAGATAGACAGACACCACACAAGTTACAGTCTCTAATGTGTCCAGAATCGCGCCAGGAAGTCTAGACTGCACGGAATGTTTGTACCGCTCTCAGACAGACAGACAGACAGACAGACAGACAGACAGACAGACAGACAGACAGACAGACAGACAGACAGACAGACAGACAGACAGACAGACAGACAGACAGACAGACAGACAGACAGACCAGTACAGTATCCGGAGTCTAGGAAATCAACACACCTGGATTTTTAGATTATAGGGAGTTTGTGTGCTCCTATCAGACAGACAGACAGACAGACAGACAGACAGACAGATAGACAGACAGACAGACAGACAGACAGACCAGTACAGTATCCGGAGTCTAGGAAATCAACACACCTGGATTTTTAGATTATAGGGAGTTTGTGTGCTCCTATCAGACAGACAGACAGACAGACAGACAGACAGACAGACAGACATCAGCGACAAGCTCAATTACAGTGTCCGGTGTCTACATAATCATCAGACAGAACCCACGAAAGTCCAGACTGTAGACGGTGCTGGCTCTCCTGCCACAACCTACACACGTCTTCCCTGAGAATCTGGACGAATTTACATAAACCTTGTCCATCTTAAACGCGGGCGTTAAATTCTCTTGTGTTTGTAAATCATCCTATTGTGTCTGGTTACTCTTTGTTTACATGGGTCAGTTTGTACATGGGTCAGTTTGTACATGAGTCAGTTTGTACATGGGTCAGTTTTTACATGGGTCAGTTTGTACACGGGCCAGTTTGTACACGGGTCAGTTTGTACATGGGTCAGTTTGTACATGGATCAGTTTGTACATGGGTCAGTTTGTACATGGGCCAGTTTGTATTTGGGCTAGTTTGTATATGGGCCAGTTTGTAGATGTGTCAGTTTGTACATGGCCAGTTTGTACATGGGTCAGTTTGTACATGGCCCAGTTTGTATATGGGCCAGTTTGTATATGGGCCAGTTTGTATATGGGCCAGTTTGTATATGGGCCAGTTTGTATATGGGCCAGTTTGTATATGGACCAGTTTGTATAAGGGCCAGTTTATATATGGGCCAGTTTGTATATGGGCCAGTTTGTATATGGACCAGTTTGTATATGGACCAGTTTGTATATGGACCAGTTTGTATATGGACCAGTTTGTATATGGGATATTCTGCATATGGGTATTTCTGAACGTGGATATTTATGTACATAGGAATATATGAACATGCGCGTATATGTACACAGGCATATGTGTACAGAGGCATATGTGTACAATGGCATATGTGTACATTGGCATATGTGTACACTGGCATTTGTGTACATTGGCATATGTGTACATATGTGTACATTGGCATTTGTGTACATTGGCATGTGTGTACACAAGGCATATGTGTACATTGGCATACGTGTTTTGACACAGCTACATGGTTCCCCAGGGACTGACGGTTGCCTGCTACTACTTTATACCTGGTCTAGTCTGTACATGGACATATGTGTACATGAGCCAGTCTGTACATGATCATATATGTACAAGGGCATATGTGTACATGAGCCAGTCTGTACATGTGTCATAGACTGTGTTTCTGTACACCATTTTCACTGAGAGATGTGGAACCAACTGTCTGCACACAAGTAAGCCAAATTTGTAAAACGCGCACAACTCAAGTTCTCGAATAAGACTAAAGTCCAGAAGTGGACGAACAACCAGATATCTTCCATCAAAGTTACAGCCGGTGAACGCTAAGCAGAAAAACCAAAGACATGTCAAAACAAGACACATAGAACAATATATGTCAAGATAGGCCAACAAGACCTGTTAAGACAAAACAAAACACAACAAGACACATCGTCATTATTGGTACAATTATGAATCTATGAACACGCCAGACGACCGGACACATCGTTCAACAGTGACACAATGTCATCAATTTCTGTAATTAACTGTCAAGAAAGGAAAAGAAAACCCATTTTTCGAGAAATTATTCTTCTTTCCGTTTTGTTGTTGATGACGTTTTTGTTTTTAAAGTTGCGAACTGGGTCACTTTATATTATCTCTGGACACTGAAGAAGTCGCCAACAGCAATGGATGACAAATAATAAAACTGTATCATTAAAAAATTGCCTGATGTGAATTTAAATGATGGTGGTGAGAATTGTAATGAAAATATAACAATAATAACATTAATTGTTTGCCCATCACAAGTGATGAAGACCGTTGTGCATCCAAACTTTATAATGATCAATCACTCTGAGTAAAAAGATGGCAGATGAGCTCAATTACAGCGGGGAAAGTTCTTGTGTAATGTGGACGTCAGATGGAAGCAACAGTAAAAGTGGGATGCTCCACACGGTTCTTTCTGGTCTGCTTTCGTTTCTCTTCCAGTACAACCTAAACTTCCTGGCAGGCTAATGTGCCATGTATGAGTTCTGAACGCCACCCAGAATGCTCTTGTGCAAAAGCCTCAGATATTAAATAACAATTTGTGTTCGCGGGACTTGATTTCTAAAAACTAAAGGTATAATTCGCATAGGGTTGCCTGTCTACAGGGGTTCGCAGCTATTACAAAAACATATACATAACAAAGGGTGCCGGTACAGTTTAGGGTTGCGTACAGAGAAAGCCCCGGTTATGATTACTACTAGTATTACTGCACACTTAAAACTGATACATTAAACTCACTGACCCTAGAAAATAATACGAGCGCTGCCGTTCCCCGTCGCGCATGTTTTCTCAGTGTCAGCGCCCCTATTTTCAGGTCTCTTCTGGCAAATTCCCTAGCAACCGTTTTTTTTTTTTTTGGGAGTGTTATGTCTTCTTCTTCTTCGTCTTTTTCTCATCATCATAATCATTATCTCCTTCTCCACCTCCTCTTCTTTCTTCTTCTTCTTTTTATTTTTCTTCTTCTTCTACTTCTTCTTCTTTCCTTCTTCTTCTTCTCCTCCTCCAGTGACATCAAAATGTCAGGGGAGGGGATATATCAGCATCTTCTCCGTGCTGTTTCCAATAATGTGGATAACAATTTGGCCTTCATTCCATTAAAGCTGTTCACGATGTCGGCAAGCTGTGCTGTTTTGGTAAACTGGTTATATTTGTGAACTTCGTGTTGAGATGGAATTTGATATTTATCATTGGTTTCATGAGTGAGCATAAGGTACTTTATTTACCGTAGCTGTCTTCTTTCACTTTCTTTCTTCACAAAGTGCTTCTGCATATCTGCTGCTGCTGCCATAGCTAATGATTTTGTAAATACTATAAATATCAATGCTGCTTCCGCGGTTACAGCCACAACCTCTAATACAGGTCCCAGGCCACTACTACAACAACAAAAACTATTACAGGGAAAACAAAAATAGACCCACTGCCTATACAAAAGCATGTCGTAAGAGTCGACTAATTGGGAGCTTCCTTAGAAGTCGGAGTGCATCTGCCTGAGGCAAGGAACCAACAGTATGCACACAAATGCGTCAGATCTGTCAAACGGATGTACACGCAACACTCTGATTCTGGAACAGGACTGCAGTCCAGAAGTGGACGAACAACCAGAACTTTCCACCAGAGTTTACAGCTGGTGAACGCGAAGAAGAAGAAGACTACTACTATTGCTACTACTACTACTACTACTGCTACTACTACTACTACTACTGCTACTACTACTACTACTACTACTACTACTACTACTACTACTACTACTACTACTACTACTACTACTACTACTACTACTACTACTACTACTACTACTACTACTACTACTACTACTACTACTACTACTACTACTGCTGCTGATGCTACTGCTACTGCCGCCGCCGCCACCACCACCATAACTACCACCATAACTACCACCATTTCTTCCACTAATGTTACTGTATCGATTCCTTTATTTAGACTACTTCCCCAGCCATCTTTACTGTTACTCTTCTTGCTCCTTATTATACTACTACTTTCACTACTATGACCACCACCACCACATCGACAACAACAACGATCACCACTGAAGAGCTGCTTCTCCCTTCTCCGAGTCATCGCTCTATCCAAGACGCACAACCCTGATTCCACACACACCCAGCAGTCTTTATCTCCTCCAGGTAATGTAGCACCGTCCACATCTCGCCTATATCATTCACCTTTGTTTCTGGGTTTTCTCCCTCTCTAACAACAAGGTCACTATTTTATTTGTTTCAAAACTGACCATAATTCCCATGAGGACCCAGCCTCAAACAGGCAGCCGATGCGCTTCTGACGACTTGACCTCCGAGTGGCCTATACTGGCCTATACTATACAGTGTGCATCTTCAAAGGCTTGTATCTACTTTCGAGGAAATTTGCCTCAGCTTCGTTAACGTTCGGCTTCCGTTTGCAGTTGTTATGGATAGCTGCTACTTCCGGTCAAAATGAGCGCTAGGCACGGTCACTGTTTTGAGCCGTGGCAAATTGTTTGCTTCTGCCAGACGGTAGCCGTTGCATTTTTGCTCCATTTGTAGACTGAAATGATACATATACGTCGATCAGCTTCTGAGTGGATGCACGGTGTGACACTGTGAGCTCCGGATTTCATTTGGAATGTTTTTCGACTGTGACCAGCGTGGTGGTGTGAATTGTAGATCCAGAAAATGGCGAAATGCCTGTTGTCGCAATATTGGTGGTGCCATTATGTGATTAAAATTGATCGCGTGTGCAACTGCTGATTTGTTAGTGACTTCTGCTACCATCCAATATGAACTGCATTTCTAATGTCGGACTGTTTGTGTTGGCCCTTAGGGTGGCTACCGTATGCTTTTAATGCGTGTGTATGCTAGGTCTGCCGAGACAGCAGTCTGTCAATCTTTCCACAAGGGACTGGGATTAACATTCTGTGTGTTTTTCGTTGGCACAGGAGTGGAGCAACTATGGGTGACCCGTTTGCTATGAAGCTGAAACTAAGATTACCACATTACCAGATATGGATATATATTGTGGTAGTCTCCACTATTTAGTGTTACTTTTATGTATATAAAGTCCATTTTCTAAATTAATCGAAAAGTATGTGACCTATCTCATGTCTGATCAACTATCACAAGAAAATTTTAATGGCCACGATTATTATTATTCTTGTTCATCTGTTTGACAAAACTGATTGTTGTATTTCTTTATAATCCATCGATCCTGATTCCTCTGGACGGGCGATGCAGACGGCGGTAACAAGTCTTGAGGGATCTGCCCTTTGTTGTGTGTATCTTTTAACATCCGGGCAGTAGGGGATTTCCCGAAGAAGCTAACTCTCCTATAATTTTATGTTCCGTTCCCTGTGGAATTTCCCTTCATTGTTTGGAGAATTATTCCTCTCACTTCTGCTGCCAACAAGGGCGGGCCCTCTATGTTGTCTTTCAAGTTTATTTCCGTTGTGCCATCATTAAAATGTTGCCTGGTGCTTCCTGTTTGTCTTAACATATTTTCATTTGTTTTTAAAAATGTGCTAATATGCGTTGTGCGAAATATGCTTTTCTATCAGTACTTTCTTTGAAAATCGTGTTTCTCTCTCTCTCTCTCTCTCTCTCTCTCTCTCTCTCTCTCTCTCTCTCTCTCTCTCTCTCTCTCTCTCTCTCTCTCTCTCTCTCTGCGCGCATGTATATGTACGAGCAAATCAAGTGTACACATTCTGGCATACCTTTCCATTTTGACTTTATCGATACCTAGCAATAGAATTAAACAGCATAAGGTCCTTCTAGTCAACAACGGACCTACCGACCTTCTGCTCAAATAACACACACATGTACACACATCAACCAACCTATCATCCGATGGACGCACTATCAACCGTTAACCAACCGTAATCCGAGCAACTGACTGTCACGAAACGATCTCAGTGATTCCAGAAGTTAGTACTTGTAATAAGTTCTTCTGGTTCCAAAGAGAGAGGATTATATTTACTCTGCCCTTTACCCTAATATTACTTTAAACCAAATTGATTTAAATGTTACCAGTCCTTCTCCCAGACAAAGCCACTGCGCTTTGTTTAAAATTACATAACACTACGTAATACAGCCCGCTGGTTCAGACTAGGGATGTGAGGTTGGATTCTCACGCCAGTGTCAGAATGTTATCTCCTGACCAGACTGTAGAGACTTAGGGGGGCCCTTTTGAACAGGTAAATTGAGTAGACGCTAGACATTGTGGAGCCGGGAGGTCGGAGTTTC